ATATTGAGTCTCCATGTGGTAATTTGGAAGCAGATGCCAGGGTGGGCAGCAGGTGGTCAGGACAGGAAACATCCCTTTACAGTCCCCCACTGTCTCAGGCATTTGAATAATTAGTCCCCAGTTGGTGGTGCTATTTGGGGAGGCTTAGGAAGTGTGATCTTGCAGGCATGGAGAATTTAAAGACTCCTCCATGCCCAGAGAATGCTCTCTGCTTCCTGCTAGCAATTTAAGATATGAACTCTCATCTTGCTGCTCTAGCTGTCATGCCTACCTACTGCCATTGTCCCCCACCCAATGGTGATGGATCTCTTACAACCCTGGAAACTTAAGCTCAAATAAACCCTTCCTTCTATAAGTTGCCTTGGTCATGGTGTTTTATCACAGCAATAAAAAAGTAACTAATACAGGCACCTTATGTAAAAAGTCATATGAAATTTGTTACTGCTTTTAATATATACAAGTAAGGGTTGCAATGCATTAAAGAGCCAAACAGACCTGTAGTTCTAGTTGATTTTGTAGATTAGTAGAATCATGAAAACCTTATGATAGCCACAATTACATAAGTACTCCTTGCATCTACCACAGAGTAAAGGGCCACTTAAACCACAAAGCTTTTCAAACACCTTGGAACTGAGATTTATGAGTTTAAATCCACATGGTTCTTTTGCCATGGTGCTTATTTATAAAATTCCAACATTGTCAGTATTAAACAGAACCAGATCTGGTAGGAACAACAGTCAAACTAAGACACAGCACAACAATCTCTGTTGGGACACACAAGCCAGTAAGTCACGAATTTACAATGCATTGTGGGAGTTGGGGGTGGGAGAGTTGTGTAGCAGCCTCCTCCAGAAAGATACATGTAGTCTAGGAAGACACTGAACTTTGAAAGACATGTAGAGCCTGTACAGTCACATGCAGTACAAACACCCATACCCTTCATCAATGTCTCCATACTAAGAAACACCTCCTACTGTTAATCCTGAAATTTACCAGAAAAAACAGTTCCACCATTTTGGCCAAATTAAAGCAAGCTTGTATTAAAATGTTAAATACTGCCGGGCGGTGGTGGCGCACGCCTTTAATCCCAGCACTCGGGAGGCAGAGCCAGGCGGATCTCTGTGAGTTCGAGGCCAGCCTGGACTACCAAGTGAGTTCCAGGAAAGGCGCAAAGCTACACAGAGAAACCCTGTCTCGAAAAACCAAAAAAAAAAAAAAAAAAAAAAAAAAAAATGTTAAATACTGACCAAGATGGAATTTGGTCAAGACCATCACCTGGAAACCTTCCAGGTGAATGGCCCCAAGGTACATGTGGTCAGGCTTATATGAACAAAACCCATAGGCCACAAGAACTTTCCCATGAGGCTTTGTTGTTATTTTCCAAGAACTACAATTCCCAGAATCCCAGGATGTTACTTGGTCCTTGGGCATGTGGGGCTTATGGGTTAATTTAGGATCTAACACCACCAGAGACTTTAGCATTTCAACCTACTTTTCAGGGTACTCATGAATGTACCAAGGAACTTGAACTGGGCAATTCAGACAAAATTCAGTGAACCTATTCTTAGTCAAATATATCTGTAATATGTAAAGATAAAAATTCCCTTCACTTGGAACTGATAACACAGCAGGGGAAGTGGGGGATAAGAGGAGGACTGGGGGCAAAAACGAGTCAATATTCTGTGAACTAAGCCAAATCAGTTAAAGTTCTATTTAAATGGAAGTCAACACATTCATAAAACAAACTGAAAACATACAACAGGCTACCATGAGCACATTACTACAGCCCAAACATCCCATTCTTAATAGGCAGTGACTGTGATATGGCCTGTTTGAGCAGCAACAACATATCAAAACAAATAAACAACAACAAAATAACCAACACAATTTGGAGCTACAGAAACAGAATTCCATTCAAATGAAATGAAAATTAAGCAAACTACTGGCTTTAACCCACTTTTAATATATGACAGTTTATTTAATCTTAGATCTGAACTTTGGAATTCAACAAGTCACACCAAATACTATGTATAAGACATTATGTGATACTATTATATCAGAATAGTAGACCAAAGAGAATCATATTAGGTGTGGAAGGATGGAATATGGGCAAAGGGACATGAATCATAAAAGATCAAGTCTATTTTTGTTTCTCTTTCTAACTTTCTCCTTTGCTGGCTCTTTCAGGGGCAGCCTCTAATCTTCCATCCATCACATCTAAAAAAGAAAACCACCAATTTTAAATTTGTTCAGGTCCAATGTCCAAAAGCATTAGAGGAGCAACAGGTTTATTTGGGTTACCATCCTTGTCAGAGTTGATCAGGAAGTCAGAGCAGGAACTCAAAGGCAGGAACTGGAAAAGAGGCCATGAAGGAACTCTATTTACTGGTTTACTTGGGCATAGTAATATATTGTGTACCCTAATAAAATTTGCCTGAAGATCAGAGAACAGAACAAGCCACTAGATTAAACATAGAGGCCAGGCAGTGGTGGCACACACCTTTAATCCTAGCACTGGGAGGCAGAGATCAGGCTAGATCTCTGTGAGTTCAAAGCCACCCTGTATTACACGAGATTGACTCAGTCTAGGAGAGAAACAGCCAGGCAGCGGTGGCACACACCTTTAATCCCAGTATTTGGGAATCACATGCCTTTAATTCCAGCACTTGAGATCTCATGCCTTTGCTTGGGAAGCACACACGCCTTTAACCCCAGCACTAAGAAGGAAGTGATATGGCTGGGCAGAGAAAGGTATATAAGACATGAGGAGACAGGAACTAAGGTCCTTTTGGCTAAGGCCTTTTCAGGCTGAGGAGTCCTAGAGGTAAGAGGTGGCTGTGACTTGTTCCTTTGTCTCTCTGATCTTTCAGCATTTACCCCAATATCTGGCTCCAAGTTTTTTTATTAAAAGACCTTTTAACATTCATGTTACACTCGGGTTTTTTGTCTTTTTGTTTTTTTCCTATTACAACCCAAGATCCCCTGTGGGTACTGTCTACAGTAGGCTTGTGCCCTCCCACATCCATCATTAATCAGGAAAATGCCCTACTGGCCTGCCTACAAGTCAATCTGATGGAAGCATTTCATCAATGAGGTTCTCTCTTGTCCCTCAGGTGACCTGAGCTTGTGTCAAGCTGACAGGATCCAACAAGAACAAAAATGGAAACACTTTCTGTGTCCTTCTGTAAGACAGATAGTTGGTATTTTCTCACCATGGAGATTTCTTCATTGACGTTTATCAAAGTCATGGTCAGTTCCCTGGCCTACACTGTTTCCTCAAAGTGGCTGTCCAATGAGCCAAGAAAGAAAAGCAGCCCTTAGGTCTTTAGGATAAAATAATGCAGAGGGTTTTGACCTAAGAAGCAGATCACAGGGCAGGACCCTTCTTAAAGCATCTCCTAGGGGCAGGGACATGCTCAGTGGGTAAAAGTACACTGCACATGCCTGAGGACCTAAGTTCAACCCCTGGGACCTACATGGTGAAAGGAGAGAACATACCTCTACAAGTTGTCCTCTGAACTCCACAAATGTGTCATGGCATGCCATCCCCACATAAAATAATAAGAAAATAATTTTTAAGTGTCTTCCAGTTTGAGAACTTTATTAACATGCTAGAAGGGACACAGAACTTCATTCCAGCACTAGCTGTAATGTGGCTCCCAAGATTCCAGTTTGATGGTGTTGGATTCTATACCTAGAGAAAAGGGAGCTCTCTCTCCAGCTGTAGCCCTTTCAGGGGGCATGCACCACTCCAACACCTGTTCAGTGTAAGGACTCCATGTTTCCTACAATCCTAAAGTCTGGTGTTTCTAGTTTCCCCTGGTCACTGCTTATCTACCTTGGAAGTCAGCACTCCCCCATGCTGCCATACCACATACCACACCTACTGTGTTTGTTCAGTCTGCAGAAAACACAAACACATGATGAAAGCCTCTGTTATCTTCTGTCATTGATTTTAGAAGTTTTTTTTAATAATAAATCTTTTTCTTAAAAATTTATTTATTTATGATGTATACCCTGTTCTGTCTACATGTATGCCATAATTAATGACTTTGAAAGCATGAGCAGCAGTGGCCTAGGATTTAAACTAGGCTGGCAAGGAGAATAGTGCTTCCAGCAATAGCTGGAAGAAAACCCAGTATATTATTTTAATCATTACAAATTATTTTTCAAAGCCACACAGCATAAAGTGGTGTCAGCACAGGGAGGTTCAGTAGGAGCAGTACTGGGTAAAATCATAATCAAGGAAGCTGAAATCTCCTAAATAAGTAACATTCAGCAAACACCTAACAGTGAAAGGCAACACTATATAGCAGAAGTTCCCAACCTCAACACTGTAGAGCAGCATTTCTCAACCTCAACACTGTAGAGCAGTGGTTCCCAACCTCAACACTGTAGAGCAGTGGTTCCCAACCTCAACACTGTAGAGCAGCATTTCTCAACCTCAACACTGTAGAGCAGTGGTTCCCAACCTCAACACTGCAGAGCAGCATTTCTCAACCTCAACACTATAAGGCAAGTGGTTCCCAACCTCAACACTGTAGAACAGTGGTTCCCAAGGTCAACACTGTAGAGCAGTGGTTCCCAACCTCAACACCATAAAGCAGTGGTTCCTAACCTCAACACTATAGAGCAGCATTTCTCAGCCTCAACACTGTAGAGCATTGGTTCCCAACCTCAACACTGAAGAGTAATAGTTCTCAACCTTCCTAATGCAGCAGCCCTTTAATAGAATCCCTCATGCTGTGGTGACCCCTAACCACAAAATTATTTCATTGCTACTTTATAACTAACTTTGCTACTGTTATGAATCACAATGTAGATAACTGATATTCGGGGTACCTGGTATGCGACCCCCAAAGGGGTGGCAACCCATAAATTGAGAACTGCTGCCTTAAAACAACACAGATTTGACCCAATAAAGTGGAAAGTAGCAGGTGTAGGGGCTTTAAATAATGAACTTAAGTCAAAGCAAGGCAGATGAAGCTTTACTCTCTTACGCGGATCCAGGAGTTAAGTTCTGATTCTCCAGAGGTTCGTGGTTCTTTGTTCATCAGACAACATAAGCACCATATCAGAATTTTTTGGCTTTCATCTGCAGAAAATAAAACTAAAATGAGTAGATTTTATCAAATAGGAAAAAACCTTAAGAACATGCTTAGGAAAACCTCAAAGCACCAAGCTCGTCATTGGCTTTTCTTCTTGTGGGTTCAGCTTACTGTCCAGCTCTTGTGTGGTCAACTTTCTGAAACAGCAGCAGTTTTTAAAGCCAAATAAGAACGATGGAAAGAGCTGAAAGTGCTGGGCTCTTCAAGATGTTTCTAATTTCACATTTCAAACATCAGTAATTTCAATCTTTTTAAAGCAAAATAACTACTATCTGTTTCTGTTTCTGATGGCTAAATCTGTTCCAGGTAGAGACTTACAGAACAAGTAGCAAACAAAAATTAAAGCTGTAAATGGAAGCTATTAGCATACAAGCTATACACAGCAATGCAGACCCTGTAAAGGAGAAGAGGGAGGTAGACATAGTCAGCCCCTACAGCATTCTCAAAGACACACAGCGTTCACCTTTCAGTCTCCTGCAGCTAACAGTGCTTCCAACGGCTTTGCTATCAAAAGCACAAGGACAGGACAAACTACAGAAAATCTCCTCTATATTCACTGAGAGCATCCATCCCTTCATAATTTTTAGGCCTATTTTTCCTCCAGTGACAATCACTGAACTTATGCCTTCTCAGTAACTAATAACTCTAAATAAACACACTAGGATCATTCTGAGAAACATCCATTTTTCCCTTTAAGCTTAAATAAAGCACCAGGAGGTATAGTCTTACCTGACACACATTAATTTCTAGACTCGTAACTTTCAAAGAATTCTTCAGGCTGAACTGATACCTCTGAGTGAAATGTGACTGTTGTACTTGACCTGGTATACATACTAATTCATGAGTAACAGACATTCCAATAATATGCTTTACTATGGAGTAAAGGAGGTCGCAATTTCAAAAAAGAAGGGAGGAAAATGTTAGTTTATGGAGCTTAAACTCCAAAGAATGAAAAGAGGGGTGGCACCCCCAGGGTGTAAAGTAATTCTACACACTTGAGTTCAAGTGTATATTTTTCTCTCATAAGTAAGAAAAAAAGATCTAGAGACATCTTCCCAATCTTTGCTCAGAAGTGATGCACTGAGATATACCACTGGCTAATGAGTACATAATTCACTTTGCTTAGATGGTTCACAGACATAAATAAGCCACTGCTGGTTACATGAAGGCCACTAGTACTCCATACAGGGAATGGCATCCAGGAGCTTCCTCCCCAGAAGCCCCAAGGATGGGACTGGGCATTCCATTGGAAACTGCCTAGGATCCATCAGGACTCACCAGCAGATCTTGGCACAAATTTGAATTCTGAAAATGAATGAAAGGAAAATGAAATGTGCCAACATACATATGCTGCCTAATAGTTCACTTTCTGTATCTTGAATTGAAATTCCAAATGAAGGCTACACTCTGTACCCGTTAATACTCAATTTAAAGGCACAAGGCAGCAATTTTCTGAGATGATAAAGATTATTTTAAGCTGCGAGGCTGTGGTTATTGTTACAGGAATAGATGTTCACAGTGAGGATGGGAGGCTCTAATTCTTAGCCTGAATCTGCAGGCATTGAGAATGAAAGCCTCAGGCTACAGGAGAGGCAGTGTGTGCAGAGAGCAGTGTCACTGAGAAAGGGGCACTCACCCTTCATCTCCAGGTCCTTCCTCTTCCTTCTCGCCCTTGCTTCTCAACCTGACCAGATGACTCTTCCATCAAGCAGATATATACTTTGCCTACAGCTTTGGGTTCTGATTTTTGTTAGGTTGCTTGGGGTCTACTGTTCTTTGGTTATCTTGATGGTGGTGGTGTATGCAACAAGGTCTTACCATGTAGCCCAGGCTGCCTGCCTCAGCCCCCCAAGTATACTTTTACTGTTTTTCATAGGAAATTTTGATATTTTAAGACAGAAAACAACTCTCTCCAGAAAGTGTTCAACTAGTTGAACAACGGTGAAGTGAAAACTGAGATCTTATGGGTAGTACAAAAGCTAACACAGGTGCTGATACAGCAAGGATAGGGATGTGATGAGATGAGTGACTTTTAACTGCAATTCACTCAACAGTTTCTTCTTTCTTTCTTGGTCACAGAACACCAGGAGCTAGAAAACTTGTGGTGATATTTTGTTGTACTCTAATAAAATTTGCCTCAAGATCAGAGGACAGAGCCAGCCACTAGATTAAACATAGAGGCCAGGCAGTGGTGGCACACACCTTTAATCCTGGTACTCCAGAGGCAGAGATCCACCTGGATCTCTGTGAGTTCAAAGCCACCCTGGACTACATGAGATTGACTCAGTCTAGGAGAGAAACAGAGCCAGGCAGTAGTGGCACACACCTTTATTACCAGTACTTGGGAATCACACACTTTTAATCCCAGTACTTGGGAGTCACACACCTTTAATCCCAGTGCTTGAGATCTCATGCCTTTGCTTGGGAAGCACACATGCCTTTAATCCCAGCACTAAGAAGGTTGAGACAGGAAGTGATATGGCTGGGCAGAGAAAGGAATATTAAGGCGGGAGGAGACAGAAACTCAGTCCCCTTCGCTGAGGACTCAGAGGCATTCAGTCTGAGGATTCATGGAGACAGGATCTTCTCTTTTCGGCTGAGGAGTTGGCAAGGTGAGAAGTCCTCTAGCTTGTTTCTTCTGATCTTTCAGCATTTACCCCAATATCTGGCTCCAGGTTTTTAATTATAAGACCATTTAGAATTTGTACAACATCTGGTGCCCAATGTGGGGCATGAACTCACAATCCTGGGATTACCATTTAGGATTCATGTAACAAAACCAGTTTGAGCTGTAAATATATAAAATATCATGGTGACTCTGAACTGCATATACAAATAAAGCCTTTCATGGAATGTACTTAAGTGTGCACATGTGTACTTGTCTATGCAAATCTGTGCATATCTGTGCATTATACTTGAATAGACACACATATGCACACAAGTGTAGTTCTAGTCAAAGATACTCAGAAACTGACCTGGACACAGTATATAAATTCAGAAGAGCACGCGTGGCTTTGAAAGGTAAATACAGCACTGGCTCACTAGCTTTCCATTTTAAATCAACAACTTGACTGAGAGGGAAGAAGAAGACAAATAAAAGGAAGGAGTGGGGACCCAAAGGTGGGGATGGAATTAGTAAGACTGAATGTGCACCTCATGCACAAGTATGTGCTCAAAGACCCAATGAAGTGTTCCCCCTTCCCCACCTAGTTCACAGCTCTCACAATGACATATGATAGGTTAGGAGAGGGAAAATGTGCAATTCTTTCAAACATCAAAGGGAAATGGAATCTTTATTTTGGTTCTCATGTCATGATACTATGTAATTAGTCTTGACTTTAAAAAAAGATAAAAAAAAAATTACATCTGCTATTAATGTAGTCAACTGAAGACCTTCAATGGGCTCCTCTTCAGGATCTTCAGCAGCCTCTACCAGGCTTGAGGATGACAAAGAGAACTAACACTGCTCCTAGGCCTCAGACAGTGGGAGAAGTACTATAAAAAGGGAAATGCTGGAAGCCATGGGGATATGAAAAGAGACCCCAACCCAGCCTCAGAGCAAGGACATTTCCAGGAGGTCTAAGAGGCAAAGGGAATGGAATGCAGAGCACAGACCCACACTGGCATTCAGACAGCTGGCAACAGTACCACTGCAATGGCATGCTTTACTTGAGGAAGATGGAACTAGAAAAAAGGTAGGATAGGCAGAAGTCAAGGAATACTATCCCTAAAGTATCCCCAAATTCTCTCAACATTGGGTAAAACCACATCACTCTTAAGTAATGACAAAGCCATAGCAGGACTCTAACTCTGAACAATGTTCTCACAACATGGGCAACAATACATGAGTTAAAATGAATCTGTGAAACAATTAACTAGGTATCATTAGCATCAAGTTTAATTGTGGAGAACTTAAAATGAGGTGATGAAAGTGACTACAGACAAACACTAGTGCTTAAATCATAAAGTGTTTCCTCTCTCTACTGTAAGAATCCCTGCTTTCCTACAAGTCCACATGCATGAGCTTGTATGCACATGCGTGTTTGTTTGCCTGTAATACCCAGAAGCACAGGAAGATGCATACACCTGGTAAACTGCCCCACGGAAACATGAAAAAGGTTACAATTTACATCCCTGTGCTCTGTTAGATGGACAGAGAGTAAAACTGTCATCAGGTATTTGTGTGTTGAGACTCTTACCATATGCTAAGATGAGAGGATTCCAACAAGTTTTTGCCAACAGTTGACCAATTGTGGGGAACCTTTCCAGGATTGCGTTAGAATCCTGTAAAAACAACAACCACATGTTTTGATAGTTAAAAAGTACTATGCAACTCAACTGAGCAACATAATCCTCAAGAGAGCCTGAGTACTCCTGTACATCCTATTTTAGAAAGTATACAGAAAGAGATTAGGGAAAAGCTCTACATAAGAAAGTCAAAGTTTAACTTGTACTTAATCCTTAAAAACTCAATATAACACAATTAGGTCATTTCAACTTTTTCAGAAAATTTATTGTATTTTACTCAAATTTAATAATCAGAAGAGACTATTTCTTTGTTGGTGGTGGTGGTGGAGACAGGGTCTCCTACAAAGCCCTAGCTGTCCTGGAACTCACATTTGGCCTCAAACTCTGCCTGCCTCTGCCTCCCAAGTGTTGGGATTGCCCAACATAGGAAAGACTATTTCATTTAAACACAATATAATGAAGAAGAGCAGCACTGGTGATTAATAACCATGTAACCCTACCTCTTGAACTATAAATTTTATTTAGTATAAAAAAGACCCCTCACCCAGCTTTTCAAAGGTTTAACAGATTATGTAACTTGTAAAGGAAGGACAGTGGCTGAGGCACTAACGCTCACGTCTTTGTGTGTTACAGCCATGACTGTTACATGCTGAATGACATCATACTTCAACAGCAACAGCCCAACCTCTGAGATGACAAAACCATCCCCACTTTTCTATGTTCCATACTGTTCAAAAGCAAGACCATACAAGCTCATGTGCAGGGAAGCCAAAACACCCCCCTGAAGGGGACTCTGTAGGTGTCCAGGTGGGAAGAGAACCTCAAAGAAATGAGAAGGAAAACTCACTTCAGATGCATATCATCAACCTAGATCAGATTTGGGGAGTCTGATGCCAGGCCGTTCATGTCAGCATGTTTAAAACAGTTCAATTTGGGGAAAAGTTTCCAGGAAATAATCATTCCTGTTCCAGGTGCACAATAAAGCTTAAGGTGTGACTACTTAGAAACTCCTTTACAAAGTACATGTGACCACAAGGGTGGGTTCTACAGCTAAAGGGTCTAGAATCTAGTGGTCTCTGAACATGATAGCATAGAGGTCAGCAGGTCATAAAGTACATGTGACATCACCCCTAAGGATGGGTTCTGTTAACTGAGAGCTAAGGAGGGAGAGTCTAGAAAAAACATTCTGGGGGATTTGGGTGAGCTCTGCCTCTATAGTAAAAGTTGGGTGAGGTCTGCTGCCACAGATAGCAAAAGGGTCAACAGTTCATTAACATTATCCACTTCTAGATCTCTAGGCAGGAAAATAGGTGTTTTATCTCCTCCACTGAGGAAAGGCTCCTGCATGTTTAACCTTCCTGGTTTCTCTAGTGATCTGTGGGCACAAGGACCTTTGTGTCCCTAAGAGCCCCGTGATGCAGCAGGAAGTTCCTCAACATGGTCTTTCTGAGTCCATGTTAAGATCAAGTTACATAAATCTTACTAAAGAGAAAAACAGCTTTAAAATTAGTACCATTTGTTCCACATGGCTAATCCTTCTAATTTCTAAGGACATATGAACTCATTATCTACAGAATAATCCATAGAAATTTGTTTTGAAATTTCTCATTTACTTCTTTGATGAACAGAAAGTACTACATGAAAGTATAAGTGTTAAATAACAATTACTTTCATTTTCAAATTTAAAAATAAAATATGAAAAAAATTTATGAAACATTAATATGTTTATAACATGAAAACATGGCTCTCAGTTGGGAGGTGGTGGTGCACACCTTTAAACCCAGCACTCAGGAGGCAGAGGCAGGTGGGTCTCTGTGAATTCAAGGTCAGCCTGGTCTACACAGGGAGTACCAGGACAGCCAAGGCTACATAGAGAAACCCTGTCTCAAAAAACAAGCAAACAAACAAAAATATCTAATACAGTAAACATAAGTAATTTATGTCAATAGGAAGATAAATAGAAATATAAACCAAAAATTATATAAGATACTCAAAAATTTATTTGAAAGGATCCCTTAAAAATATTTATTAAAAGAGATCTTAATAGTAAGATAGCAATACTCGACAGGATCTTACTATCTCTTAGGAGCACCTACTTGAAAGCAGACCTGAGGGAGAACAGCCTAATAACCCCTAGAAAGTTTGAAGACAAACTTTTACTACCTACAGGAAGAATCCAAGCCCTGTAATCAAAAAACAATTTGCTTGATTTTAGGATACAGTTTTATGATAGAAGGCTTGCCTAACATGTGGAAGGCCCTGGGCTCAATCTCAAACACTGCAAGAATGAATAGATTATTAGTTAATATAAATAACTTTGTTGGCCAGGCAGTCTCAAACAGCTAAGAAGAAAGATAATGCCATTTTACACCAGAAGCTATGAAAACAGCTCTTGTCTGCAGCACCTGTCAATAATTTGTCTAAGTTCAGTTAAGTCAAGTCACACAAGTCCCTAACTCTAAGTACCATTCTTGCTTAGGGAGTCCCTAATGTCACAGGGTACTTACCATCTCTTTCAAGATTTCATATATCTGCTTCAGGAACTCCTGGAACTGGGACAGGTGAAGACAGGTGTCCTGCTGGGTTTCCTTAGAGGAGGCCTGTTCCCAAGCAGAAAGTTTCTGCAGCCAAAACTGATAGTCCGCAGCAAGGTCTGCAGAATCCTGAGCCATCTCTAGGCAGAGAACAGTGACATCCCTTCACAGCAGCCTGCCAAGCAGCACAGGAAATGGTAAGCATGCTTCAGGTCTTCAGGGAGGGAACAGATGGAACATTTAGGACAGGCTCTTCTATCAGCACATTCACAACCCACTGAGGATGAAGGCAGATTATGAGAGACTAAACAGCCTGCTCATGCTGCTAGAGTCCTCTCTGAGTCATTTAATGTGTCATGCAGCTGTAGCTCAGATTTTAACATCCGAACTTTTATCATGAGTGATGTCATTACTAAAACTCAGTACACTTTCACAGTAACATACTAATTGTAGACAAAAAGCACAGCTGATAATAGTTTACATCTCCTTAAGATAGAGCTATTTTTAAATGTCTTAAGTGTGAAGTTCCTTTGTGCATTCTAGGGATGAGAAATCAGAAACATTCATGAGTGTTAACCAACAGTCTGTGCCTGAAAAATGCTTCTGATATCATGATACTTTACATGCATGTATGGCTTCTCATTTAGGTGTAAATGAATTCGATGCATTACTAGCTAATGAATTTCCTTCCCAGTTCCTCTTCACCTCTCAGGGGGGAAAAAAGGTAAAGTACTGTATTCTTCATGTATCACTTTAAGCAACCTGCTTAATTAAATACTGCTCTAGGGAGCCTGGAGCTGCTCAGTGGGTAGTGTGAGCTGTGCAGCCTCAGGACAAAGCTCCTGGCACATGTCTATATCTCAGACAGATCCTCAGAGCTCACTGGCCAACTAACCTACCCAGTGGGTGGGCAGAAGTTCAGTGAAAAATCCTGTCTCAAAAAGTTAATGTTCGCCGGGCGGTGGTGGCGCACGCCTTTAATCCCAGCACTCGGGAGGCAGAGCCAGGCGGATCTCTGTGAGTTCCAGGCCAGCCTGGGCTACCAAGTGAGTTCCAGGAGAGGCGCAAAGCTACACAGAGAAACCCTGTCTCGAAAAACCAAAAAAAAAAAAAAAAAAAAAAAAAAAAAAAAGTTAATGTTCATGTGTGCATGACCACTCCCACTCTCCATATGAACACAAAGGGGTGTGTGCACCCACACATATGTGCAATCCCCGCACATATACCACATGCACACAAATAGTTAATAAAAGGTAAAAATAAAATTTTAAAAGCACTGCTTTACATGTAAAATTCATCCACAAAAAGTCATATTTTCATAAAACATAACACATATTTACTAGGTGTTTGACTCATTAAAGGACAAAAAATAAATCTCCTAAGCCTGAATTCCTGCCCCTGAAGTAAATGTAAGAAAACACAACAGGAGTCTACAGGTATCCTGTGCCTCCTCAAGGGAGAAGCTAGGCCAGTGGACAACAGGAGCCCCTCCAGTGCAGTGCCTAATGCCCCTGTGGAGAAGGGCAGTTCCTCTCACACCCCTGTGCTTCCCTGGGACAGGGTAGCATGCAGAGGTCTCACCTCAAGGAACTGCTCACAATAGTAAAGGCTGAGTTCAAACTCAGCATCAATGAGTAATATAAAATGCTTCTACTAGGTGCCAACCCTCAAAGAAAGATGGCCCTCCTCCTAAGCAGAACAACAAAAGAAACTGAAGGTGTCAGCTGCATCACAGAGACGTGGATGGAGAGATGGCAGTTTTCAAGTGGCATTTACAGTTTTGAGGAATCGACCAAAATGGAAACCAACAGAAAGCTTACTAATTACACAGGAGACACATGCACACTAGCCAAATGATACTTAGAAGCCAGAGGTCTGCATTATGGACCTGGTGTAAGCCCCTCAAGGTAGGAGTGGCCATGGCCAGCTACTAGACTACTCTAATGGCTGTTTCCAACCCCTCAAGATACAGGCGGCTAAGCTCTGCCCTACAGAGGAAGAAAAAAAAGCCCAAGATCAGGCCACACAATCCCACCAATACTTGAGCTTGCCTTAAGATCAGGCCACACAATCCCTCCAATACTTGAGCTTGCCTTAAGATCAGGTCACACAAATCCCACCAATCCCAGGCCATCCTGGAAAGCTCCCCAAGAAATCATATATAAAGCCTTCCTCCTGCTCAGTTCTCTGCCACTTCTCAACTGAGCAGATGCACCTGCCCTCTGTGTCTTTCCCAAAAAAATTCTTATGAGGTTTGTTGTGCAGTGTGACTTTGTGGTATTTTTTGGTTTTCATTGTCCTCATCAAAACCATCTACAAAACTCTATCTACAAAATAATATGGAACTTCATGACTTCCTTCCATCTCCCTCATGGACTTCAGGTTTCATCCACTCCTCTACAATTCATTCTCTATAAATAAATTTTAAAAAAAGACAACTTTTGTATGTATAAATCCCATCCGAGACACACTCACTTAACACTCCTTTTTCAGAGCTTCTTTGGAAAGAAATCCAATGCAGCTGAGGGGAAAAAAGAAAAGAAAAAACTAACCAACTCTCCAGGCACTGCACTCTCAGGCCCCCCTTTCTTCTGCTCCCCTGACACACAGCCAGGTCAGGCCACACATGCTCTGGAATGAAACTAAGCCCTCCATGCTTCCTGATGGCTTGATAGTGTTAGGTGCTCTTGAGTATTCATTCCTTCACTCAGTTATAGATTTCATTCATTCATTCATTCACTCAGTTACAGATTGTATTCATTCATTCACTGAGTTACAGATTCCTTTACTGGTATACCCATTCTCTGCCTTCCCAGAACTTAACATGGCTGACAAACACTCAACACATAGCAAATCAACAAACAATAATTCTCTGGTAGTTTTCAAAGTACAGTTCTAAGCTCCATGTCATAGCAAAAGTGCTTCTCCAAATAATTTAGTTTTTAAAATGTAAGACAAGAACTCCAAAAATGAAAATATTAAAGAATTTTTAGTTATCTGGGTGAAGTGAACATACACACACATGCTCCATGCTCTAGGCCATGTATGAACTGCTTCATGCATGTGAACTGAGTCCTCAAAGTGACTCTTTGGAGATAAGTATTAACAGGGGCACAAAGAGATTACATCACTACCCAAAGTTAGATCATGTAAAACCCCAGAGGAAGAGATTGCTAGGAAAGGGTAGAGCCAAAACAGTGAGATCTCAACCCAGAATCAGCTCTAACGTCTGCATGTATGTATCAGGGTTCTCTAGAGGGACAGAACTTATAGAATGCGTGTGTGTGTGTTCGTGTGCGTGTGTGCGTGTGCGTGTGCGTGTGTGTGTGTGTGTGTGTGTGTGTGTGTGTGTGAAGGAGATTTATTACAGTGACTTACAGACTGTGGTCCAACTAGTCCAACAATGGCTGTCTACCAATGGAAAGTCCAAGAATCCAGTAGTTGTTCAGTTCAAGAGGCTGGATGTCTCAGATGGTCTTCAGTATACACCAGAATCCCAAAACAGTGGGCTCTAATGCCAATGAAGGAATGGACTTGCCAGGGAGAGTGAAAGCAAGTAGGCAAGGAGAGCAAGCTTTCGTCTTCCACGGCCTTTACATAGGCTGCCAGCAGAAGGTATGGTTCAGGTTAAAGATGGCTCTTCCCACCTCAAAAAAATATAGATCAAAAGTTGATCTTTCCATTTCAAATGATTTAATTAAGAAAACTCCCTCACAGGTGAATCCAGCAACCTGGGTTCCAGTTAATTCGAAATGTAGTCAAATTGACAACCAAGAATAGCCATCACACCTTAGATAAGACAGGAAAAGACAAAATAATCATTTTTATGTATATTTCATATGGCACTGGGAGTAGATCAGTTTAAATATTTGAAAAGATAAATCAGACAAATTTTTACAGAAACAAGGAGCAAAAACACTTTTATTTTCAAAAAAAATTAAAATGAACTTTTCTTTCAACATGGAAAGTTGCACAGGTTAGAGATGCCCCTCCAGAGAAACACCAACCTCACAGCATACAGAACACCGCACAGTCGTCAGCAGTACTGTCCACTTAGCAATCCCTCCCCACCCCCCCACCCCCCTACCCCCCCACGCTCCCCCCCCACCCCACTCCCCGCCTTCTCTATCCTATGATGTCTCAGGGCTGCCATCAGTCAAGGGTGGGACTATGACTCATGCTAGGCACTTCAGACTCTGTTGGGAACCTCACCCTGAGTTAGGTGGATATAAATGCAGAAAAAATCTGAAAGCTTTTTTTCTCTTCTCTTTTCCTCTCTTTTTTTCTTTTCTGTTCTCTTTTCTTCAATCTTTTCTTTTCGGGATAGAATCTCACTCTGCAGCCCACACAGGTCTCAGACTCAGGACAACCTCCTGCCTCGACCTTTTAAGTCCTGAGATTACAGGTGTAGGCCACCATGGCCAGTCAAGGCTCTTCTTGGAGCTATCCTACTTCACAACCCAAATGAAACAGAATCTTCTCTTTCACACCTAACATTTTAATATACTCTCTTCATGCTTGCATGGTTTTGAGGAGAATTCTTACATAACCGCCTTCTTCTTTCAGAAGTCTTCTTTCAGAAGTCTCTAATTGTGATTTTTTTTTTCTTCTTTGTAGTTTGAAAATACAGTTAGATATAGTTAGGTATTTATCCTGCCAACTGTTCTCTGGGTCTCTGGGACATGACATTAATTTGAGAAATTCTGTCATCACTGTGTAAGTATTTCTTCTTTCTTCTTGTATCCCAAGCATGCAGCTCTTAGGTCTGCTAGTCTGCTGTTCACTGTGCTGGTTCCCACCCTCACTCTCTTTACTTTGCAGTTTGGGAGGTTCGTGCTGAGAACCTCAAGGTCAAGCCTAAGCTGCTTCTGTATAAAGCTGTGAGATGTTCTCTTGAGGGGCCTCGTGTCCTTTGTTCAGCTGTGCTTGATCTACTGGTGAGACCATGGGTGCACCAGGTGAAAGGAATCATGTAAACAGTCCTTTTGAATAAGGTGGCAGCAAGGTTAAAAAAAAAAAAAAGATAAAAGATTTTTTAGAAAGGCAAGATTAAAAAAATATTCACTTACTATTGTGGTCAAATACCTGATAGAAAGAACTTAAGGAAGAATTTATTTGGTTACGGTTCAGAGGGATACTGCCCCTCATGAAGAGGAGGACACGCAGCTAGGGCGG